AGTTTCTTCGCCTCCGTGGAGCTCGTGAAGTTACTCTCAGATGGTGCCACCGATCGGTCTGCCCTGGGTATAGAACATTGTAATTCGAAATCAATGCCGGTTTCGCGTATCGTGCCTCTGTGTTGTCATCGGAAACGATGGCGCTTCAGGCGAGATGATCGGTGTAGAATTGATGAGCGAGACGCTAGAAATGACGCGATGGGACGTTTAATCGCTGTACGTTCTTCGAGGTAAGCTCGGACTCATGTATGAACCGGAATGGATGCGGTTCTTGCATGCTGCATCATGGTCCGAGCATACTTCTTGAGAGCGTGCAGGCTACCGGAGGCTAGGCGAGATCGAGAGCGTCATTCAAGATCTTTCTGTATAACTGTCTTCAGGGTTTCTGCAGCGCTGATGGTGAGCTCAGCCATCGGAGCTAGTCTACGGCAATTGAGGATCTCTAGGCGAGGACACCGTAGGATCGAGCCGATCTGGAGGCGCAGGACAGGGCCCCCGCTGAAATGCCTCAATTCAGTAGAGGAATGGCGGCCATCTGCACTCAATAAACGGAGTCACTTTGAGAATCGCTCGGCCTACATCACTTCCACTGAAATATAAGATCCCCTCGGTTTCGTATGGCGTCCATTATCTAGAACGATGTCATTGTACATCTTCATCGGAGGGACGTTTTCCTTCCCGGAGAAATACGAAAAACAGAGTTTCTGATTTTTGAATCGTAGCCGCGCAGCGATCAGGTTTACGAGTCAGGAACATGAGATGGTATCTCTATTGATAGAACCTGTTCAGGTGCCTCAGGTTTCTACAAGCTCCGAAGAGCTCAGAACCCACAAGGGAGAGGTATATGCGAATCTAATTCCTCCGCTCGTATATCTACCTATGTCCTCAGCCCTGAGGAAGGAACGGCGAGCCTTCGTAAGGATTTGTCTGTCGATTTTACAGGTTTATTTACACGAAATTTATAAATTGCCACAAACGGCACGAATACCTCTCTCGAACAACGGATCGACATTTTGGATGAATATATTCTTTAAATCTAGAAGTTCATATATATTTTATATATCTAAATATTTCATTCTTTGGTGAGTGTATAAGAGAAGTTCAAGTGACATCTCAGAGAAGTATTGCACATATGACTCAACGCGTTCTGCGGGAGCTACCAAGCCCAGAGCGCTCAACAATATATCGGCATATCAAGATTCGTTATAATAGTTAGGAGAAGAATATATATTTTATGGTCGAAATCGTCTCAATGGTTCCGTGGCACATATCTCCAGGACATATTCAGACGAGAAAGGTGCCGGTCTTCAAAAATCGTCACATCTGCGGTATCCGGCGTCAATATTTGTGGGTTTCGGGAGCCACCCGAGAATGTCACTAAGCCACCGCAGTATATTCTGATGCCATTGTTCTCGTCGTTTCTGCTCGAAGCTTCGCTTGAAAGCCTAGGAATCACGCGGGTGACACCCGATTGGGATTCGGTCCTGCGAACTGTGACGCCGGTATTCTACAGTCATCTGAATCTTCGGATATCTTGTATAGTGCAGAGTCTACATTCAGGACTCCAGGCTAGGAATGGAAGTCGTCGAAAACTCTCCCAGTTGCTTCTCCCGGGGAGCGTGAGTCCGTCTGGACGTATATGGAGGGATGAATTGAGTTTTGACGGAACCTCGGCCGACTAGGAACGAGGGCGATATCCGCGAGGCCGGTCTTTCCTCCAGTGTTCGAAAGAAATCGGGTGAAGAATATGTCCTTGCTCTAGTCGTCAGGCGGAAGCAGCGTTCCCGACATTCAGTCTTTCATGAACAGCCTGAATCCTAGCGACAATGACCATCAACGCTCGCGTCCTGTTCTCCACAGCCTGAATCGTCCTCCCCCACCGTAGACTGCGGAGTTCATTTCTTCACTGCTCGCCGGAAGTTTGCCGGAGCCTGCTGGATTGGAGACATATCGGTCCAAGCAGATGCAGGCTTCTCCATCTGACTGAGTTGATTCCGAAACGCATTGTTCATCGAGTCGCCTTGAGTCGGGGAAATCGTGGTCATCGTAAAAGTTGATATCTCGTCGAGAAGTTACACTTCGGCTTTTTCGGCCTATGCGACTGAATTTGTTAGATCCTAAACGGAGAGAGTATACAAGCTTCGATATGAACCAAGAACGCGACGGGCTTGGACCCTGGATGTCGCTGGGAATCGGTTCAACCCTCACATCCTGATGTGTACAAGGGCTTCCGTTTCGGAATATTCGCATCTTCGCGGGCGAGAATGAACAGCATCATGAAGAAATTGGTCCAGGTGCGAAAGTCAGCCTCTGCCCTCCTCTGCGCGAACGGAGTTGTCGATTCTTTCACCCCCATCTTTATCGTCGATCGTATCGTCCTTCTGGGTATCTTCGTCCGAATCGATTCTGGGATCGCAGTTTATGGTCATCGGGAGGTCGTCCTCGTCTTCCTCCATGAGAGAAGCTCTCTCATCCCCGGCCAAAGAATCTTCGAGGTCCCTGATACGTCTTTCGTGCCGCGGCGAATAATCGTCTTCGGTGAACGACTCCTCTTCCGGTATTTCTTCAAGGGGCGACATGAAGTCCTCAGGAGGAGGGGGGACATTCTGCAATAGATGCGAAACGGGTATCAGATATGAAGGAAGAAGAGGAACCTGAGCCTCGGACGCTAAAAGTTATGCGCTTACAGCTCTTAGTCCCCATCAGAATCCTCGCCCTGAGTCCGACAATACATATACTACTGACCTTATGTGGGTTATTCACGTAGGGTATAGTGGCGGAAATGCCACCCGAGATTGCCAGCATGATCCCAGAAACGATGAAGGGGCATTGATAAGACCCGGTCAGATCAAACAAAACACCTGGAAGGTAGGATGCAGCATGAAGCAACAAGGTCGGATGCGGAGTCGTCCGGTGTCTCAAGATTGATCGCGAAGTGAGATCCCGACCAGACGTTGGGACAGAATTGTTCTAGTTATGATTCCGCCGGAATTCTGCGACGCCTACCTGCGAAAGGCGTGCCGAGAATGCACGCCAGGCCGCGTACAAGGCACAACAGGCCGAACGCATTAGTGAGTCTCTCGAGCCCGAACAGTTCTACTAGGATGATTGAAGTCAGGAGAATATAGGCAGCCACCATCAAACCGAAGATGGCGCACACAACCATGCACGCCGAGTAGCCACCCAGCTGGAGGGACAGGGGGGTGATGGTCACGGCGAATCCCGATATCACGAGGGTGATGTTGTTAACAGTGAGAGAGTTTACACGAGGCGAATCGGAGAGACGACCGAATATCAAACGGCCGAACATGTTCGTGATACCTGGGAAGACAAATTCTGCCATTACTTCTGAGCTTCCGAAAGTTGACAAGCTGCAGATTTCCGACATCCGGCTCTGCTCGCTCTTAACTTGAATTATGACCTCATTGAATAATTAAGAAAGCTCACCGATGCACGATACGAGCATGGATGCTGCGTTTTTATCGACGTTCGCCATCGTAACGGCAGCGTCCGCGATGAAGACGAATGGTATATTGAAACCCATCATGCCGATGAGATTCGCGATGCAGATTATGACGAAAGCGGGATTCTTGAGCAGCATCGGATCGAAGATATCGCCTGAGAGGGCAAGAAGAGTCAGTTTGAAAAATATCCGCTCTTGGACCATGCGTCGAGTCGTTAGGGTTCGCACAACCGATCTCATCGGAGCAGGATCTGAAATTCTGGAGTATTTCCTCAATGCACCCCCGATGATCACTGACCTAGGGTGTCCTGCATGGCCGCCGGTAAGCATCCACATGCCACCTTAGCGGCCCTCGACTGGTTCTCGCCGGGCAGGGTCAAGACCGACGCGATGTAAGAACGAACGTCTCCAGACGACTGTCGAAACTCCGGTAGATTGCGAATGGATCCGGAGTAGAAGATATCTTTCCGGTACATCGGCCTTGCTAGATCTCTGATAGATTTACGCATCTGTGGATTGAGACCGCAGTCAAGCGGCGGCGGCGGCGGAGCCAGGAGGCAAATCGTCTGCGGGAAGAAGCACAAGCGTCCAATCACACAAAGGGAGAATGATACGAGACAATGATCATGGTACTCGGATATATGTTCGAGCCGAGACCCCCTCTCGGTTTCCCGGTGATGGATGTTCGAATCCAGTCAAAAACTTTTTTCCTCCCTTGTAGTAACGGTGGGATAGCCGATCGACATACGGTTAGAGACTCAGTAAGACAGCAAAGTTTTGTCAGTATTTTGATATTCTCCTCAAATGAGAGGAGAGGGAGCGAATTAGTACCATCATCAATGATAACGCTCGTCGCAGGGTGGGGGATCGCGTCGGTGTGAGCATGGAAGCCACAAACGGTGCGAAAATTCAACAATGACCTCATACAAAGTGCTTAGTCGGATTTGAAGTGCGACATCGAAGACGAGAACACAAGGGGGAAGGGGGAAGGGGTTCTGGACACTTGGGAAGACTATGGGGGACTGAGAAGACCGGCATCGAAGAGCCTCGAGGCTTTCTCGCGTCCGACGGTTCATGCAAGGTTACATGAAGTCCAGCAAGATCTTCCCGGACGCGGCTCGAGCGGGAAAACACAACGTTCCCGGTGAATCATTCGGGAGAGGAGGAAATCACACGAAGGATAGCGACAGAGTGCGGAGACAGAGGCTCATCCTCACGTCTTGAGGAAGAGGAGTAATCATCTGTGTGTTCGCCATGACCGACACCGATAGAAAATACCTCATGCGTGGTGTTGAGATTCGAGCCAGCTATTCCCGTGGCGTGGTAACCGGAGCTGGTGATGGCATTCAACGGGCGGTGTTGCATGGAATTCCGGGAAGCTCCCAAGGCAAACTTGGGAGTCGAGGAATTGCGTCGGATGTCTGGTTGGACCGTGGTCGTTGACATCGTGAGCCTGGCTGCGCTGTGCGAAGCGATCAGACCTGCGAGAGAAATCGACCTTATGTATTGAGTTACTCAACGTGAAAACAGCCTACGGAACGAAATATCCGAATTATCATGAGGGCGCAACATTATCAATGGCGTGACGTGATTGTATCGTATGGAGCCGTGACTATGGCTCGTTCCGGCATAATTGTAGCCAGTTATCGATGAGCCTACTCCAACGTATTCTGTTCATGGGATAATCAACGATGAATTCGCGGATCGAAGATCGGCGCGACAAAGTGACAGACCCGGACCGATCGATCAGCCGCTCGGTTGGCTAAGTAGACGACCGACTCATTCTGTCAGCTATTGCTTTCCTCGGACGATTCCTGCCTATTCTGGATCGCCGATCCCCTGAGCTAGATGGATCGACTCCCTCAGATGCGGCGGCACTATGTACCGGGGGAAGGCATTTCTGTCTCTAACTCGCGTAGTAAACAGGTCTCGGATTAATGCAATCTGCGTGGAGCGACTTCGAAGCCCCCGACGATACACTGGGACAATTTGGGCTAGGAATCGGAGCGCTGTGGCTCTTCGCGGGCCCTGGAAGTTCGTATTGAGGATTTCGACCCCGGGCTGTGACGAGTGGTCTCAAAGCAGGACGGGTTGCGACTTCCCTCCCCCGCGATATTCTCCGGTCGAAAAATGCCTGATTCTGATCAGGAGCTTGTGAACAGCTATACAGAGGCGTCGTCTGCTGTCAACTCGCTCGATCAGTAGAAATCATCCACTTTGCCCAGCGATCGACCCGCCAGCCGGGGAGCTCCTGCCGACGGCGCCGACAGCCATGAACTTTCGCTGCCTTAATAAGATTGTGCTCCAACCTTAATGGTGGTGACGTCATACTCGATGACGGCCGGCATTGAAGCGAACTGGATTAGGCTGGATCGCTTGACTCCAGATTCCGGCTGTTTCCGAATGACGCGACGAGAGTCGTTTTGACAGGAAGATCGATATGACAGCGCTCTCCAGCGAGAGTAGAAACGATCATGTGGGGCAACTCGAGTTGAACAAACAAAAAACACAGCGACCGGATCTCAGAACAAACATTCGTGATATCATTTGTTTGTTTCTGCCGCCGGAGCGCGGCTCGATTGCGAACTCCAGACAAGTCATCCCTCGGGGGATTCTCTTCATTCCTCCCGACTCATTGAAATGAATAATCGACGTCTAGGCTCTAGGAGATCGAGGGAGATTCAGGAGAACGTTCTAGATGTCTCCTCGTATTTCTCGACACTCAAACTCGAGTAATGCATGAACTTCTCTACGCGAATATCTCAGCAGGCGATTGAATATGAGCAATATTCGGAGATGAGATATGAATGCAATATTCAGAGCCGAAAGGAATTATGAAGTGATACGCGGGTATTTCCGTGGGAGCAGCGACATCGGGATACCCAGATTCCTGACTTACACCGCCCATGAGTACTGTTCCGCTTTTGGCTCCGATTCTCGCTACGGGAGCGGTGCTGAATGCCTCCTCCCGGAAGCCTCTCGGCAATAACACTTCTCTCCATCATCCGGGAACAGCCGAGAAGGGAGAAGCAGCGCCCGCCCAGCTGGATTTCGCGAAGTTGCGAGACCATGACCTTTTCGCTTGTGTGACCCTGAACACCAGTCGGTCTTGTGAGGATCGGCTCAGTCGTGCGAGCTTCGCCCCTCACCATACACTCCCAAGAAAAGTTCGGAGCCTTCTCTTGCCCGGACGGAAATGTCGTAGCTCGCCATCGGAACCGCGCGAGACTCTTCCCGAACGAGTCATCTCAAGCATCGTCAGTAACTTCAACACACCGCAGACTCAGAGAATCCAAGCCGTACACAATCGAGCTCGCAGCCCACATCCCGGAAGTCGCGCGTAGGCTGCTCCTGTTTCCGCGTCACGTCGCTGCCATTCTTTTTTAGGTAGTGTATAGCACTCTCTCCAGCTACCGTTCGTTTCAATCACTGAACCGAATAAAATAATCGCCCGGCTCCCCTCCGCATATGAATCGATCACTTACCTTTTCGTTTTGCAATATTCGTGATGGCGTGATTGGACACGTGGGGGTTCACGCCATTGGCCTGCGGACCGCTCTTCGTGTGGTCCGATTCTTCAATTGGTGAGAGAGTCAATGCCGGGGGAGCATCTGTCGATGATTTTCCCCATTGGTCTAAGAACAAGGTGGAGTGCACCCCTGGAAAAGAGGAGAGCGGATTCAACTCCTTGCATCTTGAGAATTACGTTATCTTTCGCTCCATACACGTGGTGGTCAAAATCTCAAGAACGGCAACTGGAGGTACCGAAGAGGGTGCCGTTCCTAAGATTTTGGCCACCACTTAGAAGCATTGGTATGCAGATCGACATCCAGATTAATCGACGAGATTTCAAGCTTTGTTTCCTTCGAATATCACAGCGGGCTGACAAAAGAGTAGCGAATCAACTCGCGTTGGTATAGCCTTTCGTGGTCAGACGTGACCTCCGTTAGAGAGGTGTCATCGAAGGGTCGCTCAACCCTAAAACGAATCAGCTTCAAAGCGAAGTTTTTGACTCTGGTGAACGGATCGGATCAAGGACAAGATTAAGCGGAAGCACATTCTCTGGCTGTACATCGCACTAGCCTTCATCCGCATCCCAATCTGATTAGGAGCCGATCTCGAATTTCCATTCTATAATTAGCAGAGGCATAACTGGACCGGCGCGAACGCCGCGCCGCCGGGGCAAGTCACGAGCATTCGCCGCGTGCTCGAAAAAATCCTCATTTCTTCGAGTGCCATCCATTTGTGCGAAGAATCGAAAACGAACCGGGGCTCGGAAAATGCAATTTCATCGATCCCCCGCTCACCGGTGGCGTGTTACAATCTACCGTCACCGGCCGGGCCGTCTCCAAGTGACATATCCCGAACGGAAACCGACCGTTTCACTGGAACTTGACTCTCGAGCTGCCAGTACTTCGCCCGAGCTCCACAAACTCGAAAACCCAATGATAGGCAGGGAGGGCGGGACCTCGATTCGATCCAGGACGGCTCAATTCAAAGTTTCACGCGACTCTGAGTACGGAGAATCTCACATCAGTCAATTACATTTAGGTAGTTCCGTTCGGAGAATATGCTGTAAAGGACCGTAGGCCACATGGATGTCGTCCGACTGAATCTCTCAGTCCATCTGAGCCGAAGCTCGTGGACGGGGATACTCTATCTCTCCCACCAAGCGTGCCCGGAGTTCCGAGAACTGAAATCGACGGGTCGACATTGACCGCAGGAGGCCATCAAGGTCATCTCCAGGGTGTGTCTTCACGGACTACCGGTTGTTTCGCACGTGCAATGCTGTATATATGTGATCCAGAGGGTCAACAAAAATGGCGTAGAAGCCATTGAAGGGGCATAGTCTCCGACGTATTCACACCTGGCCCGACAACACAAGGGGGGATCCCGTACTTGTGGTTAGCCAATGACCTTCGACCTCAGGCATTCAATGTCGACTCTCAGCTCATGATTCTCACGCGACTTTAATACACGTATGTAAATAACTCGCCAATACATCCGCTCGGAAATGATTCGTCGTCGGAATTCGCTGCCACGATTTCGTTGCACTCCCTTGTTTCCACATCCACGCTTGTTTCCGACGCCGGTAGAGAAAATGATTCTGTGCAGTGCGTCGCGTATCTCGATACGAAATTTCCAGAATCTGGCGCTCCTATATCATCCTATGATATTACCCAGGGATGAACAGCCCGAACAAGCAGGACGGGCTCAGGAAATTCAATCTCTTACTCACCCGGCTCCGTGTTGACCCCCGCTTTGAGCCGTTTCTCGACCGTCCCGTCTGGATGCTGTACAAGGAAGAACTGGCTCTGAGTTATGGAATCTTGCCTCATGAGCCCAGTTTTTTCTTCCCAAATTCGTTGCATGAGAGGCTTTTCGGCGACCGACCACATCTCTAAAGGTCTCATGAGCGCTCCGAACACGCAACAGTTCAAAACCAAACCTGTAATTCGGTGAGGAATGTTATTATTTATCATTCCGCTCCACTGGAGCACTCGGAGCCCTCAGTCGATTCTGCGAGGTAGACGAACTCGAATTTTTAAAACTCTCGTTCGTCTTCGAGGGAGAACGAGGAGGTCTCACGCGAGCCGCTAGAACTCTTCTCGACTGATGAGTCTCATTCGACTCGGATATGTTCGACACTGATCCCGTGGAATGGAAGCTCACCTGCTAGTATTAGAAGAGCTCCCCTCCACGCGTAGTACTGCAGCAGGTATTGCACTAGAGGTGCGAAAACAAAAGCGCCCAAGCCAGAACCGCAGACCGCTATTCCGGTCGCAGTTGCCCGTTTCTGAGAAAAGTACTGATTCACAGAGATGATTGCCGGGAGGTAGATGAGCGAAAATCCCGTGCCAGCGAACACCCCGTAGAAAATCAGAAGGAGCGGCACCGAGTCCACAACGGTTGCGGTGCAGAGCGACACGCAGGCTATCAGGCTGCCGGCGATGCACACCTGGAATAATTGCGGAACTCAGTCAGCGAGAAAGTACACTCTTCGATGGTAATTCTATCCTCGCGTCAGACGGCTCTTCCGGTTCGCCCTGGCATTAATTTTTTGCTCCCCAATCCGAGAGGAACGGTTTGCTTTACTGCAAGGACTTCGCAATGCATGCTCAAGAAATGCAACGCAAACAACAGACTTCTCGAATTATTTTCTTCCGATCGAAACCGACGCTGGTCAGTGTGCTGATTGTCATGCTTTCTTTGTCCGAACGCGCCCCGGTCCCTCGCGCTGAGCGATGCACCCGTCGTTCGCCTGCTATGAGATTGACCCTCCGCGTATCGAAAGAACAAGTAATGCTCTGTGACGTCACGCCACGTGACGGGACTATCGTATAGTGTCGTCCCGTGCTGAGCTGAGCCTGTTCAAGATTCATCTACAGCCGGCCTCTGATCAGGATGCATCTGATAGTGATCAAATGCTCAAACATGTTCAATGCGTCCGATATGACTGCATGTTCAAGAATTATCCTCGTTGCCGCCGCGCTAGCCCGACTGACTGAGCAGACTGGTCTAAGATTCACTGGATCAGTATGGGCTCTACATACCACCATAACGTCGGGCTTGCGATGAATAATAAAGCCTCGATAATTCCTACCAAGAGACTCTCTATCGATGATTCGGGTCCGAGTAAGTAAAAAAGGGACGGGAGCATTTCTACGGAACCTCGATAAATAATTATTCATCATTCTGCGAGGAATTCTTGTATCCGTATCGAGCCCAGGGATTCCTTGCATGGTCTCTCAGATCTCGAGGCATTTGGAATACGAGTTCGAGGTAGGGATCCGCCTGTCTAACGACTTCTCGAGGTCACTTCGCATCTTTTGGAAAAACGATACCGCAAGCTACGTTGAGCAAATCCTCGGAGCATTAAACATCCGTACCGATTAAGCGAGATCCGTGGAATAGCTAAACGATCCGAAATGTATGGAGAAGTGATCATTAGGACGGCCCGCATCAAGGAGCTGCAGATGCTTAGCAAGTTCCCAAGGTCAGTAGTCGACCTTCGGAGGTCGGCAGTTCGCGTAGAGGAACTTCGCTCGATTTGTTGCTGTCTGTTCGAAGCTCGGGGTAAAGGTATAAACATCCCATTACGGACCGATTGCAAGGCAAATTCCGCATGTATATTATCTCTGGTCCCGTTCGAATCGCTGGGAAGGTTTTGCGATCGAACCTCTATCTGAATATCGATGTTCATTGTTTGTTCCATGCAGGATCCTCGGGAGGAGAGGGGACACGACCGACTATTTCAGTGGATCACGCTGTCTCTAGAGCATCCCGGGTCCAGCGGCGGACGAAGGCAAAGTACGCTAGTTGTTTGCTTTAACTTATTTCCGTTCAGTCAACCACTCATGGGCAAGCGGTGACAGGCCGACCCTACGATTGTCAGAGAGCTTGGCTCTACGGCGGAACCTGAAGGAAACTGCAGGAACACCGCAGCACTTGACCTACCTTGCGACAGCCGTACTTGTTGGTTAGAGCGCTAACCAGAGGCCCGGCGGATAGATAGAAGCCGGAAAGGAGCGAGCCCGCCCAAGTGATGGCGGACTTTGTCGAGTTGAAGGACGTGACCAAGTCCGGGAGGAAGAGCCCGAATGTGTACGCGATGCCTGAAAATGATGTGCGTAAATGAAATCCATTGTGAGCAGAGATCTCCCTGACCTTCGCAGACACCTCACCCGATGGTTCACGAAGACAGTGGATCATGCCTATCATGACGCTGAAGGGCTTCATATCCACTGGAGGGGATTGTGGATCGTCTCAACCCTGCGTCCACATCGAGAAACATTCGACGATTTATCCGGAACGTCTATCCAGATCCTTCAAAGGAGGTTCCTCCCACGCATATGGAAATCATTTTCCCTGAGTGGACCCAGAGGTCGTGCTCTACAGCTCGTGCGTCACGGGAGATGCGACCGGAAGCTACGGAACGATCATGAGTTCATTCTATAGCGGAGTGCGCCAACAACGGCTGCTCAAGTGTAATCAGCTCTAGATGCTCGTACGCCATGATTCATCTCGCGCTTGTGACTGGTCGCGTCGTTCCAATCGACTGTTCCGGAGCACAGGAAGCCCTCCGCGCGGATCCGGAAGTTGAAAAGAGCGAGCTTTCCGGACTGCGCTTTCTTCTCGTCTACTTCGAGTCGAGCAACGCCATTGCTCAAGGGATGATCTCACTCCGCGAGCAGCGTGAAGAGACCGTGAGAGCTTTTCCATTGCAAGCGAATGGATCGGTCGACTGTCTTGACGATCATGTGCTACCGCAGAGGTTCCCCGACTGGGTTCCGCGGAACCCTTGCGTTCCGTGGCGGATAGCGCGGAACCCAAAAGTCTAGCTGCGGAACCCCTAGGGGTTCCGAAGACAAAGTTCGAGAACCACCGTAATACCGTACTCACCGTTGGATCTGCTTGATGGGACAACCTCATAACCCGAGCGACTGAATAAGCAGAATAAAATGACGCGGCTTCGATGTGGACCCATCCAGCAGATTCCCCCATTTGAGTACTCTCGTCACATTTTATCTTGCATATCGTCCAACTCATCATTTCCGTGGCATACTCGCTGATGTCCTAACCGGAGATCCTTCTCTTAGATATCCGAGGCTCTTTCGGTAGGTTCCGTGAAGCTCCCAGTTCTTTCCAGGACCCTCCTCTGGTAATTTCCCTCAATCCGTAGCTCGGATGAAACCGGTTTCTGTCGAGTCTCTTCCTCCGACGCCCTCGTTCACGCAGGTCGCCATTCAATATACATATATCCAACCCTTACGAAAGCGGAACGTGCGAGCCCACAGAGACGGTCACATGCACTTGATCCCCAGATCATGTTATGAAATTCGGGCCGAGGGCGATGTGGACTGTTTTCCGTTTTCCGGAGCTTCCAGAAAGAGGTCGGAATGCGGGAAAGCAAAACGCTTGTCCCCTCTATACCAAGCACTGTGAGTCGAAACTCGATGAGGAATCACGAGCTGATACAGACTCGACCGTCGAATAGCTCTTGCTCGTTTGAGTGCTGCTTTCGGGGTTGCTTGCTCATGTGATCGGTACGCATGTCAGAGATTCCCTGTACTCTGAGTGCCGCGACTGTTTTGGCCACGCAAACAAACAAGGAGAAACTTGTGGTCATCGATTGTGCACAGCCTGCCGTAGAGCTTCGCTAATGTACGAGATCACTTTCAGCGTGTGTTGGCTCGGATGAGATTCGCAGATATGACGAGAGGGAGCGGTGCGACTGTCATCGAGGAGCATTTGAGATCGCCAAAAATTTTTTGGGCTCGCGCGGAATAAATCGATGCGGGGAGGATCATCCCGTGATTCACACGGAGACGCGTACCGAGCACCAGGGCTTCCCCGAGCAGCCCCCCTCCCACGAATCCAGAGAGGAATTGCGTTCTTCTCAGCTGCTCAACGCCGTTTATGCGCCGCACCGTGAGGGATTGCTCTATAAAACAGGAAAAGCTTTCTAATCAGATCCAGTACTTTCCCGAAGGAATGCTTTGCAGTCAACCGTCGGGGGTTCTCTTCTAGGAATTTCGATTCCGTGGGCCATGTCATGACTTCCTGTTTTGGGCGGAGACCACCAAAACCGTTTTCTGCAGAAGCGGTGGCACGCTCAGCTTCTCGGTTCAAGAGTATTGAGCTTTCATGTCCATTCTCGGAAAGGGTATCCGAGCGGAGGACTCCCACGTGTATCCGACGCTGATGTATTCAGAAGAATCTTCAGCGGGTCTCTGATACGATCCATGCTATACCCCCCTGGTCTGAGCCGTGGATGGTATCCAGGAGCGCTCCATGCCGAAAGAGCTCTGCGGCGTAACCGAAGGCCAGGCGAAGAAACATCTCGGCCCGAGTCTCCTCCGTAGCACTCGACAACGTCTGAATAAACAAACACTCACCTCCGCTGATTATTTATACCTGGTCTAGCAAGCTAGCCGACAGATCTATTCAGGCTCACCGTCAACAGTTAGATTGCACAGGAACGATGCCAGCACGACGACCCAGCCGTAGCCGCCATCTGGAGGTTCGACGGCGAGGCGAACTGTGCGGATTTCTTCGTGACCTGCGCGGCCATTGTTGCCGTTGGCCATCAATTTGTTGTTGTTAGTGGTGGGCCCTTCTTCAAGGGACGATGCCGACACTGATGCCATAACGAACCTCCTCGAGGATAGGGACCCCGGCAGGGCCCTTGTCAACGATTCAGGACATGCGGTTCCACAGAGAGCGAAGCGCGACGTCCAAGACGCGCGCCGCCGACTGAAACAATAAGAATTTAGGGAAATGCAACATACTCTGGCTGAAGTACTCGGAGAACTCCTCTCGATAGCCCGCAGGGAAGTGCTCCGTCCCCTGCTGACGCTCAACACTTGTTGCGCAGCGCAGGTCCCGACAACCCCACGGAGTGCATTGAGCCCGATGTTGAAGTGCCGGAAGCGACGGTCTTTCTGATTCGCCTTACAAGGTCGCTCGTCGTCCTGATTCCTCGAATTAGATCCTTGTCATCATTCAGACTCGGACTGGTCGAAGCTCGAATTGCTCACGAAGATCTATTGATACTGTCTTCGGGAGAGAATTCTTCCCTGTTCAAAAAACAGATTACGGTCTCGGATTCGAGTCGGAGCAAGACGCAGTCATAACAATTGGTCTCCCCTGAGATCGGAGGCCAATAGTCGAGCGGGTCTCGACTTTCGACCACAGAGGATACTCGAGACTCGTTCCGAATCTCTCGGACATCGCAATCTCGAGTTCCAGAGGTTCCTCTGAGACGATGAAGTCTTCCGACGGGCTGCTTGTATGAGCTGTTTCTGTGTGTGGGGTGTGTATAATTCTTCCTAAGGATGTTTGGTCAGTGTAGCAGGTGAGCGGCATATGACCTCTGCAGTCGTCTCCTAATCCTGTGCTGTCCGCTTGTTTTTAAACCCTCGAAGGGATCCTCGAAGAAATTCTATGAAGTCTCAGCGATTCCCTCCATCGAGAGCGATGAGCTTCCGTTCTCATGATCATGAGACGGGCTTCCCAGGACTTCGAGAATCCCCGAAGCCCAACGTTCTGATAATGCTAACGAACGCTCCTTAATCAAAATAACATGGTCTGAGGACCGTGGAGGTCGCTGCAAAATTTTATAGAGATCATTGTGAAATGATGTCCATTAACCCAGGTTTCTTCCGATGGCTGAAGCCTGGAGCGGTTGATACATATTAGAGGTTTCTCTATTTTTGAGCGATCGAAGGGCATTCCGACGATATCCTGAGATGGCGGTTACCTAACGTAGATGCATTGAACTCTCGGCGAGAGGCAGCCGTCACCCAGTCTACACTTGTCGGCGAACTCACGCACTCGAGCACCAAGTCATCCGCGGAGATTCTGTCTACCGGTTTAATCTTGTCAATCACGAGAGTCTGCCAAGACTTGGAAGAGTTCTAACCCTGCTCTGATAGTATCATGATCAGAGCCTCGCAGTCGCGCGCGCATCTGTTTGTCGTGCTGCTTGTCTATCTCGCGAGTTCGTTTGATCGAAGAGCACTTCCAAGAACTCTATATCCTTCTGCTACGTCAATCGGAATTTTTCAATTCTTCGAAGGCTGACTATTCCCCAGCAGTCATTCCGAGAAACAGCGGCGGCGAGACTCCGCGCGGGACCGCGGGCTCCGGTTTGATCTGGTTTTCGGCTCGTCTCCAAGGCGCTCAGGTCAAAGTCCGAGTGCTATTGCAGCTGAAAGCACAGCGCGATCCGATACACTCGTGTGCTCAGCGATAAATGGATAATCTAAACGGCGGTAAAGTGAGTGAATGGAGCCTTCCTCTCGTCAGCAAAACTCCAAATCGAAATGCTCCATTCTGAGTCCGTGGACTTCCCCGGCGTTTTCTGGGACTCGACACTTCCGATGGCGCAGGTTTCGGGGCGTTTGGAGGGAACTAGGACTCACACGAACAGGTCGGACTTCCGCCGCGGGATCGCCTGCAGGACGCGCTAGACGTCAAACACTGCACCGTCCGCTAGTCGTCACACAGCGGCTTTGGAAGTGAGGCCGAGGCAGCGCAGTCGGGAGACACCAGCCTCTGGGCCACCATATTTTAATATAGAGGTAGACCCTCTCTCCGACGTCGTCTTTCTCTGCTCTCAACCGAGGACGGGGCCCGTGGCTCCCTCTGTCGAGTGCCTCGACCACGAGAGCGTGACCGAGCTGTGCCTAGGTGATAGATAGGTATGGGCAAATCGGAGTGGCCAAAGGGGGGATCCCGGGCTCATCACTGCGCGACCATAATAGCCCAAATCAGAGCTTTGATCTTCTAACTCCGTATGGCCTCTTTGAGTGGCCCATCCCGGTTGATAAGAATCCACCAGAGGCCTCCCATTCGGGAATCTCTCCAATCATTCCTTTCCCCTTCGGGATATCCCACTCGCTGGGGAATGTAGGAACGCAGGTCTGGAAAGCGCCCTGGTGTCGATAAGGCGATGCATTCTCGAATCCTGCTCTTTGAAGGGTCGATCTCCAGCAGAACACATTGCTCGTGGATAGTTCAGGGAATCGAAAGACTAATAATTTGGAACTTGATGTCGTCCGCGAAGGCTCGATCGCCAGATGAATTTCGAAAATGCCCGAATAGAGTCATGAGGACCGGCAGCGAGCCTCGGGGACAGATCGAATTCATGGATAACCCGAAACTCTCGCTGATCTGAGCTGCCGAGTCCGAAGGCATCGACCAGGATTTCATCGACGAACACACGTCTACGTTGGAATCGAATGAAGAGCCGGAATTCCCCCTGTTCATCACATTTCGAGCCAGACATGATATTCTGCTCGTAGCCGATGACCATCGCAGAGGGGACTCCCGCTCATACTGTGCTTGGAACGAGTACCCTCAAGGAACTAGGATGCAAGCTAAGGTTTCGAGCTTGCTTTCGTGCAAAACTCTATCGCTCCATTATACGTACCTCATATTCGATTCTGAGCTCCTCTAAGATTTGCATCTACAACGAACTCCACCTAGACCTGAAAGGAACACATCGGGACCAGGTATTTCGATCCGAATAATGGGAGGATCCGACTATCCAGGGCCGAAATATATGGAGCCCAATTGATCGGGTCTCTCCGGAGGCGATCCGATTGAGCGGAGGATTCCATTAACCGGTGCTCCCATTCAGCAAAGCTCACTGTATTGCCGTAAAATTCTAAAAGATTATGAAGAGAGTCATAATATTCTCCTTCCGCGCAGGGCCAGGGGAAATAATCCCGCCTCATCAGCTTCGATTATTAGCTCCGCTCGATCATATCACGATCCCAGGAGAATTGGGAAGAGCAGTCCGTTTAATATTGCCTGGGCGAGGATATGTTCCCGGAGCTGTATAGACTCTATTCCAATCAAAGCAGTTATCGTCAGAGCGCTCTGTCTGCATTTACATTGATTCATTTTCCAAGGCACCGCTGGAACGAACCGTGATCCATCGTCCTTTGCGGGAGAATCCGCAGGATTATCATATCCGAGCAAAAAAGGATGTCCAGCTGAAATCCATCAAGGGGAGTTGTGGCGTAAATCTTAGGCTGGCATTCGGAGGCCTCGCGTCCCGGGCTCATCAAATCGAGATGGTCTTAGAATAATTCAAGCGCTTGCCTGGCTATGTCGAGCAGGCGGCACAGGAGGCGAAACAAAATGGACTCTAATTCATGTCGCTGCTCGGTGAGTGGACAAGTGAAAGCACCAAGCAAAATGTCTTGCAGCAAAATTGCAGCCTTGCGTCAAGCGATGTCTTTCCCGCGACTGGAGGGGAGAGTTATTAATGGTTACAGATGGTGCGTGCCTAGAATATCTCGACGTGGATACTTTCTAATGCGGACGATGCCGAGCTGGGAGAGGACGCGCCTCCCGCTAGAGAATCGCACCACCACAGGGAACGCATTCCGGTTGTATCACCAACTGCAGAGACTATTAGACGTGGTCCACCCACCGAGAAATTGGCAGCACGCGTATTTCCCATGGTTTTATTTTTCTTTGCTCGCGCTGATTCGCCAGAATGTCATGTTATTGGCGTGGGGGAAGCCTCAGGGAGGTCTTCGAGTCTGATCAGCAACATCTCCCGCTAATGATCAATTATTATCATCGGACGATCCATATTCAGGAATTCCTCCGCTCGTTCCAGCTTATGCCTCGATGATCCGACCCAACGAGGCACTCAGGGTGGTTGGCGGAAAAGATGGAGCTCAAATCGAGAGTAAGATGCGCTATCCGACGACGACACGCCGAATGATGTTGATGCGCAACCCTTTGTGCCCTCAGCCCTACAATCAGTCTCACAGAAAGCTCAATGCACCGCGTGCTAGGGAAACCCGCGCGAGCCAGCCCGATCGGCCGTGATAGGGTAGCTCTTGAAGAATCGTATAGTAGCTGTTGTCTTCGACAAAAGCTCACTTCAAGCTCAAAGTTGGGTCCAACCTTGAAGAGCGAAATCGGCGGCGGGGCTTCCATGAGCAGAAAAACGCACTGCTCTTGTTCCGTTCCGTCAGGCTGTGGAGTCATCAGTTAGTTCATTGAAAGCGCGGCCAAGCCGGCCCACGACAAAACGTCTCCTAAAAACCAGGCGTCAACCGCTGACCAAGTCGAGGGCAAAAACCTCCGGGGCTCCTCCGGTAGCAGCAGTGCTAGGAGACAATACCAACACGCTGGACGAGGACAGTTGTAGTCTGGCCACAGGGCTCCGAGTGAGGTAATAATCTAATAAGCAAAAAAACTCCAAAAGACACGGCACTCGCCACAGGTCACAGCTGAATGGCGACTTTTGCCACCGGGCAACGGCTCCGGTCGCAGAACGCTGGAATGGATTCAGTGTTGTCTGTCTTCCAGTGTACGGTAAACGTTCTCCAGGCCTAGTGAACAGAGCACCGGAATGACCTGATCGTTCTGTGGATTTTTGTGCTCCACCTGATCCCTTGTGTTGTTGGCCTGTATGTTGTCGTCCGTTTGTGATGCGCCTTCTTGTTCCCTATATTCTGTATGCATTTTTCCTGAGCGACCCGGCCGGATTTTCAAACGCACAGCGAAGTTTTTCCATGGACGGTGATGATGACTACTACAACGATATTTCATCCGACGAGGAGGATAATTTCCCTCAAAAAGCGTCAATTAATGACGGTGAGTCATGCGGGAAAATCAGGAAATCTGGCTTACGAGGAGTACACTAGTCGATCCGATCGACGCTTCTCGGTATTTTCGTTTCATGGGTCACGTCGGGTCCTGGGCTCACGTCCGTGCTCCCCGTCCCCGTATTATAGGAGCACATGATCGTGTCGATAAATCAGCTTAGGCGATCAAAACCTTTAATTAGCTGGTATGATCCGAGCAATTAATGGATGTCTGTCGAGACTGCTCCCGCTTCGAAGGCGGAGCTCCCGCATCCTGACAACTTTCAGGCTCATTGCTATGCGAGGCGAAACTCCGATGGCCTTTTCAAGCCGCGGCTTAGCGAGAGCGTTCCGGGCAAATCTTTTCCCTTTCGGGGCACCAACTTCCCCCGATCAGACGCGAGCAGTCGGTCGGACCGACATGTGTCATGAACCAACACGCCTCCTCAATCCAGCGCTTCCTTTGTTTTCCATTGTGAACTCGATCGATAATCATCTAGCTTCTAGGCGGAATGGTTTTCTACAATGGTTCTCCCTGAGGTCCCCCTAAATCCCAGCCTCGCACACGAAAAGCAATTCCTGCTAGAATTATAGTATCGATATTTACGATCATCATCTTCCGCAAGAAAGCGGCGAGGCCAAGCTCCAGGAACAGATCGTCACGACGAAACCCTTCCCCTCGATTTCAAGCAAGGCGGACCGACTTCGACGAACATATCGAGATACAGACTCGATCCTCAATCAGGAGAAATTCGCGTTACACTCACTCATTGTTCGTACAGCTGTAAATCAAGCGGCCGGAAGGACAGGGTGCAATCGGAGAATGACTTTGTATCGGGTTGTCTGACCGGGAGCCAATCACGGGAATCCAGGGGCTCAGAAAGGAGTCATCAATCATTACCAGTTGTTCTCCCTCGCTGGACAAGAATCCAAAGGATCTTCTGGACGAGTGGGTGAGAGACCACCTCTTCGATCAGTCAGTGAGACGCGATGACGAGGCGGGCGAGAGCGAGTCCAAGCTTCGAGTGTGTTGATACATTTCCGCACTTCACGATATGCCTTCGGCGCATTGCTGGGAACACAAACCAGCGGCAGTTTGAATACGCAGTCGGCGGCCCAGGCTCAGCTCACGCCTTGGAAGCCTCCAGCTCGGTACTCGAGTCGCCAGGAGGATTCCGAGACCTTCCTTAGAGATGAATGACCGCCCCGATTTTGATTCCGGCATTGAGGCTCATGGAATCGAGTTGGCCCCGGGCTGGCTTGTTCTTCCCCCGAAGCCGACGGGACACCCTTCGGTGGCGAATCGGGGAAAATCGGGATGATGGATACTCTGGGGCCATTACTCGCAAGTTCGCGACCACAGACGGGTAAAACATTTTTCTGTTGGACACAATAAATGCAGTCAGGACCACAAAAGTCGAGGCTCAATTAAGACGAGTGACTCTTCCGAGCGTCTCATCAGCGAGAGAACCTTGTGCGGATCCCTAAATTAGAATATGGCAGTCGTCCGACCATTGCGACACAAGAAGTGGTCGAACTCGGAATCCGCAGAGTCATGCAGTGACTCGGGAAACTTCTTCAAGACTTTCGCTCGCTTCGGAATCACACAATGGGCTGACCCTCTCAGGTCCACGCTTTCTACGGAATACTCGCAGGCCTCAGCCCCGATCCAAGAACCACCAACAAAGGCTCATGCGGCTTGCAAGCTCGTCAGCCTCTCTTCAAGCCAAGCCCCTCCTTTCAAGCCATGCTGAGCCTTCTCGGAGGGCACCGGGAAGGAAACTCGTAGTCGAAGCTAGATTCTCGCTTGCCCCCGTAGCAATGGAGTGAATCTGCCCGGGGAAAAACTACCGAGAGTCCCGAGAAAAGTACCGAGAAAGCCGCATGTATGAGATATACACATACAATAAGATCAATCTAATTTGTCCGTCCGATCTCGGGCGCACGGTATCAGGTTCCGTACCGTTCTCAGATAGAACAGAGAACCGGAGAAGTCCAGTAGGAAGTCTGTGGACAGGACAAGGCTAATGCTGAAATAGGTTTAATCAAACGTCTCTCTACTGAAATCGGAGAGGGCACCCTCTTCTGATCTTGGCTAGGCCTGGATTGCCACTGTCGCCGGTCTGCCGACGAAAATACAAAGACACACAGCGGGAGGTACCGGTCAAGATACAGTCGAACCCGCCCGACTGCTTTTGCCGTCCGAGGAGGAAGCGGAGGAGTCTCCAACCTACACGAGATTCTCCCATTTGTGGCGAGATTGCTCCGAAATAGCTGCCGTGCGACTCCCCACTTCCAACATCTTCGATGCACCTTAAAGGCTTTGTCAGACGCCTCGATGAGAGAAATTCTTCCCCCATAAAACCAACCCGGGTAGTCTAGTCGATGATACCCATAGCAGTGACCCTTGGGATCCGCTACGTAGAGTGAGCAACTCATTTCGCATATGGAGTCTCTCACTGGCCTACGTATCAGGCTCACATTGAGTTTTTCAGTCACAGATGTCCCTAGACGGTAGTCTATCATATGGGCCTCCATGGACGTAGGGATCGGGAATCATATCAGCATTTCAGTGCATATACCTCTTGAAAGCGGGTTAGACTGTATTCCAAGAGAATGGCCATCTCAAGGAGGCTGCTCTGATTCCAGGAGATTGCGGTGTCGACGGAAACAGCGCGATCACGAAGCGAGTCTTGAACGGGAGCTCAGCATCAGATAACATGTTTCCCTGGACCGTGAAACTGTACAGAGTTGACGAGAGAGGTAAATTGGGTCTCTGTACTGGGAGCTTGATCTCTGACAGGCATGTGCTCACCGCAGCCCACTGCGTCTACGGGTAAGATTCCGTCCATCGCGGGACGAACGGGCAAGGGGCTCTCGTCCGCCCTGTATATCCAAACGATGGTGACTCATACGAGTTTTTAATAGAGCATGTTCCTGGTACCAGGAAAGACTACGTCAGCGGAATCGTCGTTTTATTGGGATCGGCCAGTCCTCACCCCCGGTCTCACGACACGGTCAAGCGAACAGTGTCAGCCATACGAATGTAAGATACATCTTATCCAGTAGATTATTTCTCAAGGTCGAATCGTCAGCAAGGAGGCGTCGAACTCGTGTTGAAGGGTTGGGGGAGCGATCTCGGAACCTCCGAGGTCCCCTAAGATCGGAGGATCGCGCTCGGATCAAGCACTAATTTCACTGATTGCCCCTCATTCTCAAGGCACGACGGCTACACTCGAGAAGGCTTAGTGCGGGACATCGCTTTGCTGTCTTTATCGAAACCTGTGCGATATGGAGCGACCCTCAGACCTGTGTGTCTCCCCGAACCGCGAATGGGTGACTACGCGTGGGAGCAGGCTGTCGTAGCGGGACATGGTGTCGCTGGATATAAAGGTCATGGGAAGTCGAAAAAGCCAAGTAAGGCGCTCACCTCAACGAACTTGTGATGATCGCTAGTCATGAGACGAAACTTTTTTAAGAAAAAGCAGGGAGCTCCAATCACCTTCGCATCTTTTTCAAGAGTTCCCGAATACATTGCAATACACAGAAGTGGAGGTACAGGGCGAGTTCCGCTGCTCTTTGATGTGGGCTCGGTACGGTCAGTTCAACTCGGAGTACCAAATTTGCGCCAGAAAAGGATACCAAGGACCGTGTGGGGTGAGTCTAGAAGATTCTCCCAATCGCTTCCACCCTCTCGAATTCTGCATTCTGCCCCTGGAAACTCGCTAGGTAGATTCGATGAGGCGCGCGTGCATGCGTACCTTACTCCGAACGGGTGAAAGGTTGTCGAAAGTTCCTGTGCGAAGTTTCTTTACCGAGGCGTTAGCTGTTGGTCGGACTGGATCTCGAGGCCTGAAGTGTACAAATCGCAATCGAGTGTGTCCTAATTAAGTCGTCGTCTCTCCTTCTGGATCCTTGAATGCTTGACTTTACTGGAAGCCCTGGACTGGACAGAATAAATCGGCAAGGTCTGTCTAGGAGACGAAGTTGCTCCTCTGCGGGAGTACTCATCGCGAACCGAAATTACCCCTTAATTAAGAGAGTAATCTTCGCAGACATTCGTGATTCTCGAGTATTTTGCCCTGCGAGAGACTCAATGCTGTCCAGATCAGCCTCCATGAGGCGAGTTTTCAGCATTCGTCCCTTAATTGAGGCAGTCCCACGAGAGAAAGAATACTCCGAACCGGGTAGTCCGGCCTTGAAACCAATGCTCCGAGGGGAGAAGTATCCGAAAGAAGAGATATCTCATGGACAACGCGTTCCGAGGTAGAATGCTGCTGTTGGAAGGTAAATCTCAATGATTTATGGATCATCGTTTCTAGGGAGACTCTGGAGGCCCTCTGATGCACCGGTCGGGCCGGTCGTACAGGATGTACGTCATCGGCATAACGTCTTACGTCAAAGGACGCAGCTCGACAAAATGCCTGACGAAGTACGGCGGCGTCTTCGTACGAGTGTCCGCGTATTATGACTGGATTATGGAGAGCCTCCACCAAGACGACGGCTGGGTGCCCGCTCGATGCGAAAGCCGCAGAAAACATGAATCTTGCAAACTGTATTATAAAATACTTCAGCTTTTAAACATGTACTAAGAGGATCGAGTCTGTGTACACACACCCGATCCGTGTCAGAATTGCGTAGCAACAGTCAAGCTAGGAAATAAATGAACGGTTTCACTTGAAGCGAGTCCCGCTTCCTCCAAGCAAAAAACTCCACGAAAGTTTTTCCTTGGAGGCTCGCCACCTACTCCCTGTCCTAGACGTGTATCAGAGCGTTTTCGAAGCAAGACCCCGAGATCAGCCTCAGGGAAGCGCCGCATCGAAGCAGCGACCGAGCTGCTTTGCATGGGCATGAAATATTCAGGAAGGCATACATCACGAGCGCGGGATCTCCTGAGTTATCGGTTTGTTTTGCAATACGTCAAGCGATGTGCAACTTCAGCCGGAGATCGCTGTATACCATTTTCAGATATTCGACAAGCTTCGGATTCGACAGAAACAACGTCCTGAGTGGAATACAGCTAAAGAGGTGGACTCGGCCTTGAGAAACCATTAAACCGAGCCAACGAGACTTGCAGTGCTTAACGGGACTGTTCGGATCAAATTCCCGCCCATGGTGACGATATCTAACTCATAGAATCGTTTTGTACACACCTTGACATCCCGCATGGGATCGATCTCCCCGGAAGCCGACTTGCATGAAGGCTCCAGCTCGAGCGACGCACAGTGGTCAAAAATCAATTCCTAGGTGGACAAAACTATTTCGATGGTTTTTTCGATAGAGTTCCGTTTCCCGAATGAGGCCTGAGACTCGGAAAGGGTTTCCGGCCTCCAGCTCGCCCGCGGAGACGATATTTGAGGTCTTGAGGACGTTGTTCATTGATTTATCCCACCAACTTTATGCATGCAGATTTGAGGGAGATGAATGCTCCACGACTTGTTTCCTGCTTGACTTCCAACTTCCTACAGAAGTGGAGACCGCGCCAGCTTGCCCGAGAGTCAGACTCGGAACATCGTCTGCTGGCGCTCAAGAGATCGCTTTTCGGCGGTAATACTGGAAACGAGCTGTTGGATGTCGGATCGCCGAGATGACTCGCTTCGCCCCCGAATCGCGAGCACCGATCGGGATCCATATCCATGCTATTGTAAAAGAGGGAATCTCTCTCCACAATTGAAACGGATCAAAGCCTGTAGCGAATTCTGCATCCCGGTATCTCCGCTTATGGTCACCCACGAGCAGTAAAAGAGAGGAAAAAATATTCGAAGACACCCCAGGCCATCTCGTCTGGAGCATGCCCGGCTATAATTCGATGTCTCCGATGAAGACCTAAAATCAGCAAAAATTTGACTTTTTTTTTTTAAAGCCCTTAGCGCAAAAATGCGCAGAAATCGGAGATGTGCTTTGAAAAGCGGAAGGCTTGAGGAGCTTTTGAAAAAAAAATTCCTGGGGCAAGCCGGGGCAAAGGTCCTAAATGAGCAATTTAGGTTTTCGCCTATTGTCGGCCACGAAAGAATTTTCCCTCGGTCGTATCGATACAAATCGCAACTCTTCGGGTCGGTGCGTCCTTGTGGGGGGTCATCCACCCCTAATTTTCATCGTATCGGGTAGTCTGAACCATTCAAGTTTGAGATATGGGCGAAAAACGACCGAATAATTTTGTCCACCTAGAAATCGATTTTTGACCACTGTGCGACGTTTTCCTTGACTCGAAGTCAACGTCTCTCACGAGGAGCTCTGAACTTCCATGAGCGCTCCCAGTCGCGGCGACTGCTCAATTCTTTGCGAGGAAGTAATATTCTCTTTCCTCCCGCCAGGATAATCCCTTCGATCGAGATTGGGGGAAGTTCATTGTGTTCCCCTTTCCGCCGAGGAGAATCCAGAGGCAATTTCGGACAGCTTATACGCTAATTAGCTCACGGGTCTCATTAAGGGGGCATTCAATGAAGACGTATGAGACAACGGAGCGGAATATCCAACATTATTCATAGGAGGAGGCTCGGAGAGCTGCTAATGGGCCCTCGATCTTGGAGCGAGACACTCAATGAGGTCCAAATCCACATTGCATTATTGGGTCGAGAGAGGAGGTGATGCATCAACTCCCGTCTCCTCCGATTTTTAGGTATCATACTGGATGCTTTAGCTCATGAGGCTTTTCAAGGAATCTCAAGCTCGGAATCAAGCCTGAGGGCAAACCAGTATCCTTCTGGCTCTCAAGCGTATCGTGGAATTCTCAACGACCTTTTTCGACATAATTGAATTCTCCAGCGTGGAAGTCACATACCAATATCCTCCGATCAGTAGCGTACCCAGGGAGAGGGGGGTCCCAGGGGTCCATGGACCCAACCCAAAATCTTCATCCGTAATGCTAAGGTATACGAGCGGGCATCCATTTTGGACACGCTCAAAAAAAATTCCTTGGTACGCTCCTGCCTCCAATGGCTGCGTCTCACCTCGTAAGGCAAGACCCCGCCATAAAGAAGCGCGTCTCACATTAGCACATCAACGACGTAAGTTACCGCAGGCTCAGATTGCAGACACCGTGCGGCTCATCGAATAAGGATCCGATTCACAAGTCAGGTGAGAATGAATGATGGAAAGAAACCCGAAGAGCATCGAGAGAAAATTTATGGGAGCAGATTCGTTTTGAAGAATTAATCCGTTTTTTCGTAAGGTGACTCCGACCAACTCCCAGGCTGATATTTTGGGGGAACAATGGACCATACGCTGAGACGTTCCCGCGACTTCCACGTGCGATCTTCACCTCAGACCTCAGCTCGAGGCTCATTCCCTCCTTCAGTCATCGCCCACTATAGCACTGCAGAATGTTTTGGCGTACTGGAAAGAAGGTTCGGTAGTCTGGGTAGAACGCATCTGGGGTGGACCAATGGAAGCAAAGCATCAAACTCGTTGTCCTTCGAACGGTGGGATCTATGGTAATGGATGTTTAGACGGCAACGGGGGTGATACTCACGTCCATGGTCTTCTGTTGGACACATATCATGCTTTCCGCTCCGGAAGGTTGACACACGCATTCTGCGTACTTTTGCAAGACGGCCGTGGCCACTGGCGGTGCTGCTGCCATTTTCTTATGGAGGAGTTCCTTCAGCTTTTTCACTTCGCATTTCTTGCTGGCATCCAACTGATGTGAACGTCGTCATCCTTAGTTTTTTATTCCATACATAGTAGTGAGCGCAGGAAACGCCCTGAGAGGCCCTTCAAGCCCTCTCGACGGTCGATCCTCAGGCGGGTCGATGCCAATAAATCTATCTAGACGGGGAATATCTGCCGTGGCAGATTCTCCTTCCATCCCGGGATTTCGGACTCGCATCCCTCTCGCGCGAACTGATACCGCTACCGGACCGTGTTCGACTCGGAGCTTGTGGTGCGAGTCCTTCGTTCGGATGGAAATCCATGGATGGAGAAATCGAGAGGGAATATCGCCTGAGTTTTGCGAGACCTACTCACCACTTTCATCTTCTCCATGTAGCACGTGATCAACTCCTTGAGGGGAAAATATCGAAGTTCGAAGCTTATTACAAGACTTGAGAGTATGCTCGATAGTTGCCGACGATTGAGTATCGTGTTTGGGAAAAATCACCATTGCGGTTTCGTTGTCGTGCTTTCCCAGGCACTCTTCGATGAGGGGCCTATCCTCAGCCGGTGAGAACGAGTACGCGACGGAAACCATCAGATTCCCTAACTTATGAACATTGAGGCCGTTTGTGTATAGGCCCAGCACTTTCGACATGTGGAACTCTGAGGGCGAGAGAATAGAATGGTTACAGAGCCGGAAACTTGATGATGCCCGGAGTCGGAATTCTGATCCACTGAGCATCCAGAAATATGAACTTTTTTCGGTGGAATTTGATTTGAGCGAAGCTTCGGATGAGAAGTGCTACACGAATGGAATGTTCTCCGAATCGCTCGGAAATTTCGAGCCCATGCTAGCGACTACTCACTGTACTGATCCATATTTATGGGTTTTGTGGCGTCAGCGGTTCCAAGAAGTGCAATTGTGCAGCCAAGAGCCCCAAAAAGAGTTAGTAGCATCCGACGCATTGTCTCAAAGTCTTCGTCAACGAGTGAGAGTCTCTTCCATTCGAAGTTAGCGAGATCGCCTCTCCGATTATTCAGCTTGGCAGCTGTATAGAATCATGAGGCTTCGAGGTCAGTCTCCCGATACTCTCATATGAAGCATTTTCAAGGCCTCCTGAAAATGATGGAGAATAGTGCTATGCGTCGATGCTGGTGCCGTCCAACGATGCTCATCCTTCGCGGCAAGATCAGGAGGACCAGACCGTCCGTATGCTCTTTTAAAACGAATTCCGGAGGAAGCCTTCGTCCCTGGAGGACTACCGATATGGCAAAGGGAGATCCTGTCTACCTGATCCGATAGTTGATCAATCGACCTCGTGGACTGCTGACAGACTTGTCCATTTGAGCCCCTCTCGAGGAATCGGAAAGTCTCTTATCCTCCATTCTCTCACACGCAGAGGAACATACCGCAGACGAAATGGTCGCCGGCGACCATCGAGAATTTCCTCTCACGAGCGTGGAGGTGCGTCTTAGAGACTCTGCTAGGAGTTGGCATCAGAACCAAAATTCCCTCAAACGGAACTCCGCCCTTCAAGATGGACTTCCTACCCGGAGTAAAATGAGCACGGCTGCAGAGAGCCCCTTCAGCGCCAAGATCTCTCCAGCCGAGTGTTGGATGAACAAATGTTCCAACATGCGACATGTAGTTATGGAAACGGAGGATGGGCATCCGTCTCCCAAGCGCCATGTTTCCTGATAAGCTTAAGGCTCCACGGGGCGATTGGCAATATCGACTTCGAGCTTCTGAATATACGAGGGTCTCGACGCCGAAAACACAAAGTCCTACGTTCTGCTTTGCCGGTTTCCGCGACTCGTGACGCTTGGAGATGATCCTCAGCGAACAGCGAGCGCCATCGGTGGACTCGATATGAGACGAGAGGGAGTGCCCTCATATAAATAGGACTCCGGCACTTTCGAGCGGGAATACTACGACCGACGACTTTCTCTTGCGTACAATTCTCACTGCTGACGCTGGGCTCAGGATGCCGCATCTTTCCGGGTGCATGGACGATAAACACGGACCTCCCCCCTCTTCCTGAGGAGAGAGGCTCATGCAGTTTTTGGATCCCGTTCTCGAGACAGCTTTCCATAAATGCATGCGATAAGTGATTCCGGAAATACTCCAGAGTGAGCACCGAGTACTTTTCACCAGCTCAAGGACAAAATGGGAATGCGACAAGCGACATGATTCGGATTGATGAGAACAATAATTTGGGGCGTTTTTTCCAGAAGGCTGGTAAAAAAACTCATATGGTCGACCCCACCAGCCAGCGTTATTTCGATGGTATGGCGCTCATTCCCGCTGGATCACAGGCTGGGCATGATCTCTGAGATAGGTAGGATCCGAATTTCCCTTCACCAAATCACGATCGGATCTCTGGATGTATGGTGTTTGAATTGCTCGAGTCCGGGCAATTCGTTAGCGAAGTTCCCTCTCCCCTGCGGGGTCCCGCCTCCGAGGTATATAGAATACACGACTGCATATAGCAAGATAATGCCGGGATTCAGCGAATGACCACGAGATGGGCTCTAAGTGTAAGTGGACGTCGGCAGCGCAGATGATTACCGAGAAAAAGGTCTCTTTGGGCTTCTGTTTGCGCAATGGTCTGTAACGATGCAGCTCGCGTCTTTTTTGGCCTTCGCCGTCGGCGTTGTTGTTAGTGCAGCGCTCCATCCCAAGAGCACTTTCGCCGAGACTCAGTCAGCCCACTTACGAGCACAGACCGAAAGATAGACACTCGGGCGGACAGACAGTCGTCAATGCCACACTCGACTGGCTGAATGAATGACGCGCTGTTCAGGGTCACTCGACAGAGAAACAACAACAGCAACAACAATAGACTGAGGTCACAAGGCAAGTGAACATACGAAACTGATTCTTGTTCGGCTATAATTGATGAACTCCCTTTCGAGAGTGACTCGCCCGCCGAGTCTATGAGACACTGCGATACCTACGGAACTCTTCCAAGCTCGCGAATCTATCCGGAAGTCGCGAAATCCAAGTCAT